AGTTCATCAACTTGTGCCACTCAGTCGTCGTTGGTGTTGTCATCCACAATGCAAAAGACACCCATGAACTCAAGTGCCTTGTGCAATGACTATGATAGTATTGGTGCGTTTGAAAAGACGAAAGATATTGGTCAGTTTAGTGAGGATAAGCCAAATGTGTACGAGAAGGTGATTGTTAAATTGACTTGCATGAATAAAGGCATTTCTAGTTTCAAGTTACTATTTGGACGCTATTATCTTTGGTGTAAATTGCTGTGTGCCTACGCTTGGTTGACCAGATACGTCGTGTGTTTGTTAGTCATCTACATTATACGATACAATGACATGGGTGTGTTACCGTTCGGAGTTGAGGATATATATGATAGAAAGAGGTCCGGAAATGAACTCTGTGATGATTTTCCAACCCTTGGGCGTCAACCTGAGAAGGGTTGTAGGCGTACTGGTGTAAGTCCTGCGATTCTTCAAAGGAATTACATCAAGACTCGATCTGCGAGTTTGTGTGTACTGTTTGTATATACATGTGGTGTGTCATATCAATTGGTATTTTTTGGATTCATTGTGTTTACTCGTTGTTTTCGTATATTGTCGCTATTGCATAATTTTGTTAAATTTTTCGTCGTGATTACTTCTAAAGTTGTTTCGAGTCTTCCACATCCGTGAATGAATTGATTGATGTTAAAGACAGCAGATGGGTCGTATACGCCGGGGGGGGGTAGGCTATTTCTGAGGATGAAATGCATACGGAGATAATTGTTAGCTGCGGTCCCACACGCCGGGGAGCAAGAATGTGGACGACTGAGACTCGCCTACGTCATCGTTACCAGAACTGAGGCAGAATGAGTGACAAGCGATTGCAGTGGTAATTGGTAGTGAGTAGATAAGAGGATGTGCGTGGAGTATCATGAGGTGCTGTTATGGTCACGTTGAGTTCTGCAAGAGGATACCTTTAACTGGAAGGCGCAGGCCGTCATTGATGTGTGAGATTGTGCTGTGGGTGTGCCTGTGGTATGTTGGCTTTTTCGTTTATTATTCATTTCAGCTCTGTCCGTGTGACCCAGGTCCTCGCAATGGCATCCAAGTCAACTTGTATTGGTCGTGATGGAGAAAAGGAATGGGTCCCTTTTTTCCCGGGGAGTGTCAATATAGTTGAAGATTGAACAATCGATTCGTGGTTGTTTGCTCAAACCCAACTTCCCCAATTTTTCGCGGAGGCATCAGTCAGCCAGTCATCGTCTCACCGATTGCTGTTCAAAAGACACGTACAAAACCGTCAGAAGTAATATTGTGATTTATTATTATAGTGTTTGTTCATAGACGTTATTTGTAAGGTTGGCTACATGTTGTTGTAAGAATAAAGAATTCTCGAGTCGCCAATCTGTTTTCTGGTTTTGCGTCCGTTCCTACTAAGCGTTTCTGAGAAGCTTCGAGGGATAGCGTGAGGCCCAGCGTTGCAAGAGCTAGACATTAACTCTTTACGAGTCGTGGCTGACAACGACTTTCGAACAAGTAGCTTATTATGGCTATAAAAATCACTTGTCGTATTTCCCATCTGACTGTAAGCAACCAATAACACTCATATTATTATTTCTGAATGCACATTATCTCATACTGATTTTTATTCCAATATCTAATTGATTCCACACATGTATATAAATGGGGGAAATCGGATGTGTAAGTAACTTGATTTGATTATGAGCAGTAATAATTTGTGCTCGAAACGTCATCAGTTAATATAACTGTACAATGCTGTGTGATTTTTCAGAATAAAATCTTATCGATAATAAAGTTATACTCTACAACGGTGCCCAAGTTTTATACTTATATCAATAGCCTTTCTTCCAATTCGCAGGCACCTACTTAAGTAGTGGTGTCATCGAATCCGCTGATGTCTCTGTGTCCATTATGGGTGCTTCTGCTATGATTCTGTCCGGTCCTGATGCTTTTCCAGTGTTTAGTTACTTCATTGCCTTCAGGATTTCTGTTTTCATCGGAGGATTGATGTCCAGTGGTAGTTCTCCTTCTACTGGTGGTATTACTGGCCGCGTTGTAGATGGCGGTCGATTTTATGAACTTTATGATCGATAATGGTCTTTTCCATTAAAATACTCAGGATATAAGCAAAATATTTCACCGAAGGCCTCAGTAAGCACTTACTGGGTAGCATCTACTGATCATCCGCATGTGGGTCCGAGCACAACTAATCACTGCCCAGTACCATCACAGGTTTACGGGACTTTGGCTATGATCAACCCACCAAAGCCGGAGATTTTGCCTCCCTTGACTCGGTGTGTGCTCAAGGAAAATTCGGTTGAAATCTATTACAAGTCATCAGAAATACAGGACTGTCTAAAAATGTTGGAGACGACACCAGGTGGGGACATAGTGGAAAGCCATCGAAACTAGATTTTATTGTATCTGGTGATCGAATACTTGTCACAAATGTCCAGATCATGACCCCCTTTAAAAGTAGTGACGACGCAGTCAGGGGATTTGATCTTGTTCTCCGTGAGAGTTTACAGGGGGACGCTACACGGCTATGTCTGTGCTATAACAAGGCTGACTATTACGGAACGCAAAGGCTTTTGTCCGATGCAGAATGACCCATAGAATAGGCTTGGCCCATGCGACGAATACCCAACTGTCGGGCCGACCACGATGCATACCTAAAACTCAGAAACCGGTGCAACACAAGAGTCAAGCCTGACAGGAATTCATTTCAGGGTAACCTAGTCAATGAGCCAATAAATAAGCTCAAAAGCCTGTACTGATTCATGTACCAGATAAGACCAACCCATCGGGAGGCATGCGTCCTAGTAGGTCCAAACGGTAATAACCGCACTCGTCTAAGGATAGCTGAAACATTCGGCTTAGACTTTGCCAAACAGTTAAACAGCACAGTGAGTATTACTGGTGCGGGCCAAATGGCAGTACTACTACTTCTTCGGACGAAAACCTAGTGACTACTCTCCAAATTAACCCGGCGATAGTACTAGGGAGGCTACAGAGAATTATATCTGGAAACTCCCCAGGTTGTGACGACATCCGGCCATCTGTTCCGAAACAGTGCGCCCAAGATCTCTGTGGTCCCTCATGCGACTTGTTCCAACACTCGATGGATTCGAGGAAACTGTCAAGGGAGTGGGAAAGAGCCGTCCTATCTCTGATCCGGAAGGGTGAGAGAGGCGAAATGCCACTAGTTATAGACCAAGAGCTCAGCTCCTAGTGGCATCAAAGGTACCAGAAAGGCAAATCTCGTGTAACAAACCGACCATCAGCCTGGGACGATTGGGAATCATGGCGGAATGTAAATGTTTCAAGCTGTGTGGTCCCCCTAGACTTTAAGAAGGCATTTAACACAGATCCACGGGGCCTCCTGCTACACAAAATGAGTCAGACAGGGATAGGTAAGCCACTTCTGTGGTGGTTGGAGGACTACTTAGCTGACAGGAAATTCTGCACTAAGGTCAATCGAGTCCGATGATCTTGCCAGGGCTCGTCATCAGCAGTGTCTCTGGGTTCTATCTCAGGAACACTGACGTTTTTGATTTTTATCAATAACCCACCGTGCTGTCTAAGCTACCCGACTCTTCTTTACTCCAACGACGTAAAGATTTGGAGGGCGGTAAGATGTTTGGAAGACTCAGACAGGCTGCATGCAAATCTAAGGCTTCTGGAAGACTGGGCGGTGGCTAATGGTGTGACTTTCAGCCTGAAAACGTTCAAAGTAGTAAAATTACGCACCTGTGCGCTGCTTTTCCTGCACAACAAAGGAGCGTAAATTAGGTTTAGCTCTAAAGGAAAAAGGTTTACACAAGCGTAGATTTCAATGGGGATGTAGCTAGGCCATATGCTGTCATACACTTTACACATAGTCAGTTAGGTGTACTCCCTCATGAGCTCTTTCTAAGATCGTACAAAAAATGCTTCAAACACCTTGAAGTGCACAATATCACTGCACCTCCACTGTTTAGAAGATACGCGGGCCTTTTGCAAAGGGTCCAAAGACGGGTGACAAAAGGAGTAATGGATCTCCGAAACAAACCTTTGATGACAGGCCGAAGAAATTCGGTCTCTTCACACCTGGCTACCATCAACTTAGGGGGAACTTGACTACTGCCTGTAAGATTAAGAAATAACCAGAGCCACCCAAACAAAGGTGTTATACCATTAAGTAGGTGTGGGATTCCTCGTGGAAATCCCAGAAGGACAGCTCACTAGAGGGTACAGATTGGAGTGCGCTTCCACTTCTTCTCACTGTGCGTTTGCTGTCCCTGGAACTCCGTAACAGTGAATTTAGCCATGGCACCGTCTGTGGACAGCTTTAAGCGAAGGCTAAACAATCAGGCAGTGACATAAGATCTGCACCCAAACGGCTTACCCAGGCAAAATCTCATACATTATTCAAGGGTAGACATACAAACTCGTCGTTTTACTTCTTCACATTCTCTCTTGTCTTACTCTCTTGACTATTCTAATTATTACATCCCTACTATATCATTACTGATATTATATATATATATATTAAATATTACTGATATATAATATATATATACATATCAACTTCCAATTTCATTAGCGGTCTGTTTTTACGTTTGTTTAATTTCTTTTTCTGTCATGTAGTCTGAATAACCTACACTAATTATATCTGTTATTATTATTGCCTCTTTTCTTTATATGACTATACAGGAGAACTAACTGGTGAAAGGACCAACTCCTTTCATAGCAGTCGCAAAGTCTTAACATACCACATAATACAAACAACTTGTAATTAATACCAGCCACCACTTTTTGTAGTCAACCAAAGCTACGACAGTCGAGTTTCAGGAGGAACTACGCAGAAGTTTGCTGAAGACCAAGAACCTTTATCTTAGGACCAAAAAGCGAGCACAAAGAAATAGAATTGGTTCACACAAGCTCATAAAGACAAAATTGGATATTGGATTTTAGAGTGGGTGAAAATTGAGCCTAATTTGTAATTTATTATACGTTATCGCTTATTTATGGATTTTGTGTATATATTGTGTTGCATAATTTTGATAATTTTTGGTGAGTTGAACTCTCAAAAATTTAATTGTTAGATTCTGCTTTTATATTACAGACAAATGGTTCAGCAACAATTTACTTCAAGTTCATCAACATTACAGTCAAGTCGTCTGGTGGGCATTGCAGTTCTCTTTCTCAGCCAGACTACTGCGACATATATTTCAAACTGTGTATTACAGATCCAAATTTGTGGGAAAAATTTCCAACACACAGAAGCGAATGCAATATCTTCGACTTGAGAACGCCAAAATCACGTATGATGAACCAAGACGATTTTTCTTTTGGTGATTCAATACAATACATTCCAAATCCTTTATCTGGAATCGTAGAGAGTATTCCGGTAACTGGAAAATACTATAATATTTTGTAGCCTAAATTAAATGTTAAGATTGAAGTTTGGGATGCCGACTTTTCTTTTTCCGACTTGGATGATCACCTAATGACATTCGAAGACAAGGTCTATCCGCTTAAAGTGTATCCATTTGATACAGCTGGAAGTGATCGCGAATTTTCATCACTTCTATCCCACGACCACCACCACCAAATATTTCAAAATATACAAGAAGGAAATATAACTTTATACATAGCAGTTTGGGCAGTTTGCAGTCGTAACAGTTATGGGAGTAACTGCAATTATACTTGCGTTCCAGAAAACAGGGTACGGCATTATGGTTGTGATATTTCAAGTGGTAAGAAGGTATGCTTACCCGGTAAGTGAATCTCCTTGGAGGAATGTTTATTCTGTCTCATTACTTTCCATCATATGTTTTAGAGCTCAGTTAAAACCCCCAAGAACTACGGAGGGGTAGTTGATCAAATCCACCACTTTAACTAGCAAAAAGTTAATAATCTGAAAACTCTTTCAGACGCCTTTTAGAGGAGCCTAATGCTTTTACATTTGCAATTGTGTATTAATTTGGTGAAAATTGGCAGTTACTTCAGTCTCATGGTGGTTCATGTATTCTACGTGGATAAACCTTAGTCAATGCGAAAGGCGATAAACGCCATTATGTCTGCAAGAAATCTCAACTTGAGCGTTAAAACATAAAGAATGTGTAGGTAGTTGAATTTAAATTTCTAAGTTAGGGTTTCGGCATTTGATGGAATTGTAGAGTGACTAGTCTTGATCCCAATCTTGTAATCATAGACTAGGTAAGGACATTTTCCTTGTCAAAATGAACCGTAAGGTCTTAATGTATGTGAAATAAATGTTCTCATTTTATAAAATTCAGAGGAGGAAAGGAAAACAAACATCCACCCAACTTGTTTTGCGTAAAATAACATGAAACTTCATCAATTTATCATCGCTGTATATACATCAAACATTTTACACATGTCAGCGCTTATCGTTACTTAAAAGCAATAAAACTGGTGACAGTAGGCAAATGAAAGATAAATAGTATATATACATTCCTCGTAACGCCACTACTGATAATAAGTAGGGTGTATCGATGATCAGCGGTAGGTAGTTGGACGGTATAATGATGCCTTATCCAAATAAAGTTTCTGATGTAATGGACCACAATAATGGATAAAAATGGTCAAAATGGTATTTTTTTTTGATAGGCCATACTTTTTCAATGTACTATAGGAATATGTATTTCGAATCTAACCTCATTACTGTTGCTGATATGCATGTATTCTGAGAAAGTAGGATTAGGAAACGAAAACACAGCTTAAAAAGCTCTGATAAATATTTCTTCCTTGCGTTCTGAAACTATCCTCGCTTAGTTTCAGTCTCAAGTTGCCTTTATTAACGTTTTCGGTCAACACATTATATGGAGGTCATTGTTAGAACACTAAGTACATCACCTTCCTGGCATTAATAATCAGTGATCACAAAAACCCAAGGTTTCTCTATGCATTATCTTTATTTAATTGGTTCAGTCAAACAGCTTGGAACTGCACCAAAAATATCTTATGCTGGGTGGTTTTATTCCTCCTTAATTCCTTTCTTTTAATATCTGATGAATATGCAGTTCTTTGCTATAACTGACGTATTTAGTGGAATGACAGTGTTTGTCTTTATCAGCAAAATGAGATTAATCACGGGCTTAATTACTTTAAAGACTTCGTAAAACTCTTACAATGACACATTTTTCATTCTCGCTCTATTCAGGTTTGTTATTTGTGTTGCATTGCTTTTTGTAATAATTAGGTTGGTTTGGTGACGAATGTGATAAAATCGATCATTGTCGTATTGTGACCTCATGTGGCCCAATGGGAACTTGCGTTAACTCACCTTCTGGTTACGAATGCATTTGTAATCACAATTTTACAGGTAATTTATCGTATTCTGCTTTAGTCATTTATGCAAAGTCAGCTTGACTATCTCACGTTATATTTAAGTAGTTTCCGACCTGTTATTGACTAATGGTGGGTAAATTTTAATGGCAAATTATCGTGAGTGTAAATAAAAAAACTTGTGGTCTGCTGGCATCTGTGCAGCCAGTTGGTACTTTTGGCTTCTGGTAACAAAATGAACTGACGTTTTACCATATGAACCAGCAAACTGAAACGAATTCGCATGAATTTCAGACGTTTCGGATTGGGAAATATTCATTTTTGAGTAAAATGTTCTTATTAGAATTGGCCCACGGCTTAACAGTGCAACAACATCCTTTTCCTCAAGCTTTGTAGTATTATTGCATGAACATTGACGTTTGATCTTCAAAACGCCCATAGTGTTTCTAATGTCTTGTGGAAGTGATGTGTAGTAAAATTGAATTTTCTTTTTGAAAACTTTTTCCTAGAAGAGGGAATTAAGGGTACTTGTTACTGAAAAATTATTGTCACTTGTATATGATACTGGTCAGATTTCGTCTTTACACGGCTAGTAATATTTGTAGCCCTCAGAATAAATACTGAGGTGATACATTTTAGTTGTTTTGATGACTCAAATTTCCATAAAATGGTATTTCTCATCTTCAGTGTGGCTTTAGAGGATGTTAGAGTTATTGGTTTTCATTATCATCACTCCACCAAGTCTGAGGAAAACTGGTTATCGACTCTCTCTCTCCCTTATTTCCCTGTTCTAATTCGTTTCAGTTGATCCAGTCTTGTTGGACTGGATGTCCACAGTTGACAAGGAAATTTCATGAAGTAGATTTTTCCTTAAGTCAATATTATCACTGCTCCCTTGGGCTCCTAGTGGAACATAAGTCTTCAGAAACAAATCTCCATCTTACCCTGTTCTCTGAAGTCCTCTTTAGCTAGCTTCACGACTATCCATAAGTTTTCACCTTTTCCTCAAATGATCTCCATATCACTTTTACTTCCTACCAATTACTCCTTGTGATCGTGGAAAAGTATGTTCAAATCTTTAATGTAATTCATATTTTTTTATCGTTTAGGTTGTAACCAGTTGAGAAGAATCTTTGAAATAATAAAAGATGACCTCATATTATCCGGGTACAATTGTTGTTCTTGCTTTGTTCAAGTTATAGAACTATTGGAAAACCTGGGAGTACTATACAGCTGTTTCATCCTGGTTTGGGTCTCCTCATCGGTATGCATCCACTGAGGTTCTAGCCCAGGACCTTCTGGTTACAGGCTAGCGAGCTCGTAGACCATTAAGCCACTGGGACCCGATCCAATAGCCAGGGCATGGATTCGAACCTCTGCCATTTCATGATATAGCGCGACCACTCCGCAGTTTCTTCTTCGATGGGTTACTGCCTCACCTTCAATCTGCTGTACCCTAGTGGTCAAGGCTTTCCACTGATGTCAGCTAATGATGAAATCCTCCAACCAATCAAACACAATCCATACAAAAACCAATACTTGAAAATTAAATTTATTTGTTGTACTCTTTGAAGTATTTTTGTCATCAATCCCGACGCTTAATGTTTTCAGCTAGTTGTGTATGGTTTTCCTATCTCAAATTATAACAAGTTAAACTAATTTTTTGTTATTTCACATACTATACCGTCCCATATATGTAGATAATAGGCGATTTGCAGTATGAAACGTGTCCACATTTTAAATAAGCAAAAATAAAAGTTATCGACTCGACATATTTGATTCAATTAGTCAGTTTTTATTAATCATTCCACATATACATATATATATATATATATATATATATATATATATATATACGCGTTTGATATTGAAGTCAGTATTTTATTTCATAGCATTTATTTCCCTTTTTAAGGTGCTGATTGTTCAGAACCGCCAAGTCAATGTATCACGCATCAAGAATACTGTCAGAATGGATTTTGTTTATTGAAATATGTCGATGATGATAACAGAATGCTACCTGATCCCATTCCCTATTGTGCTTGTATTCCAGGATTTACTGGAAAATGGTAGGAAAAGTTTCTAACAGATAAATTTTAAAACTTTATCAAAAAATGTATCACTTTTAAGTATAAATATTCGAAGTGTGGAAGGTAATTCATCAAATAGGCCAAATAGACGGTCTGATTTGAATTCACTCAGATATGATAAAGGGAGGTAATTGATTTTCACACTAAATGAAACCTTTCATTCTGCCTTGACGAAATGAAATGCAGTGTCAGTGTGAATATAGCTAATGACATAAAATCACCCGTGAATTTATGCAGAAATATTTACCTTGTCTACTAGTATATGAAATTAAAAAGCGCCATTGACTACTCTAAGAAATTATCTGCCACATTTCAAACACTAAACGAAAATTTCAGCTAGGTTATTTATTATGAAGTATGTCATTAAGGTCAGTTTATGTTGCGTCAAGTTATTACTAGAATATTATGTTGAAATAATGAAACTTGTTATAATTTATAAAGACAGATATTCTTTTAAGTATGGTAAATATGAAGGTAATTTATTATTATAATTGTCCCCTTAGGTTCCTAGTGGAACATAGGGCTTCAACTTCACGTCTCCACTTGCTTCCTCCTTCTTCTGCTGTACTTTTCACCTCCATCCATGTTAGTCCATACTCTTTCAACTCCTCTTCACACCATCTCCTCCATGTCACTCTTGCACTGACGTCCCACTCGCCGCTCCCCGTTCGGCCTGGTTCCACTCGAGCAATGGCCTGACGCGCGTGCGATGTCACCCAGAGGTGGCCTCTTCAGCGAGCGAGTGTCCAATTCATCTCCACTTTCTCCTGCATATTTGTTGGTTGGCGATTGATTCTTGTTTTGTTTGTTCCCTGACATAGTTTCTTGTTGGTGATTCTTTCCGGCTCGGCCATCTGATCTTCAGTATCGAGCCAGCGAAGACAGTTTTTGATAAAGGTCTGCAACAGGCTGTTGAAAATATTCTTTGTGACCATCCAAGTTTCTGATCCGTACAGAACAACTGACATACTTGACGTTTGTATTGAAAATCCGACGGGATTTTGTTGTTGATGGTGAGTGATGAAGATTTCCAGATTGGTTTCAGGTTGATGAATGTGTTTCTCACCTTCCCGATTCTCGCTCGATTTGACATCCTCGTCCATTCCCACTGCCTGTAGTTGAGACAAAGCTCCCTAGATCAGTGAGTGAATGAAGTAACCTCTTTCATATCCCACCCGTGGATGGTGATTGGCACTGAATGTAGCTGCTGCTGTTGTTGTTGGTTTGTTATTTTCATAACCTCCGTCTTGTCTACATTCACCTGGAGTCCTGTCTTCGCTGGCTGCTTCTTCGACCAGCTTGTCGGTTTAGTTTCGTATAAGTAAACTTACCGTCGGTTGCGGACCACCGTATGGTAAGTCGGGACGTACAATTTTTAGGGTCAACCTTTTCTAACCCCCTCTCTCCGGAGTGGAGAGAAGGCATAGCTGGTATGCTGGTCATCTGAGGGAAACAGCTTACTGTTGTTACACTCCTGTTCCCCAGCAGTACGACGTCGTCCACAGACCTCCAGCATAGTGTAAAAAAAGAAGAATTCTTACACAATGCTGGTAACTGCTTTTAGCCTAATCGCTATCCTAACAACCTTCCTGGCATGGTAAGACCTGCAGGAACATTGGTTCCAACCAGTGTAGCTTGTCGGGTCATGGTGATGTGCAACCCGACCGCCACGTCAAGATAGCAGCTATCAGTCGGGGGCTGTTAGTGAACATCTAGTTTGTTTGTATTATTAGATTTCTCAATAATTATCACAGAAGTGGATATTATCATAGTAATTTAGGATTTGAAGAAATATTTCACCACTGATGGCTGGCATCATTTAGAGAGAACTTATGGAGAACTAAGAAGCACTGATCAGGTAATTTGTTTTAATTTGAAATCCATCATCAGGGCATGTTCACAAACTTATGAAGAATGTAGCATATAGTGTCATCAGATGATGAGAAGAGCACTTTACAAATCACCCATTGCGTTGAAATTCAATAGGGGTCATCGCTTCTAAATTCTGCTAGTTCATAATATCTTGATACCATCACTCATTATCATTACAGTGAATAGCTATCCTGATCACAGGATGGATAAGTCACATCAGTCAAAACTCCACATTATAACTTCCAGAAATCTATCCCAACATTAGTCATTAATGAGGAGTAGTTTAATTGGGTTTCATATATTGATTTTTGTTGAGTGATATTGATTGGCGGTGAAACCCAATCTTGGAATTAATCGACTTTCCAAGAAGTGAGCAGCTTCAATTTAGAATCTGTAGATATTCCTGCTTTTTACTCGTACAGGAAATTTATTCTTAACATTTTTGTAAGTTCGCAGGTTGCTACATGTAGCTGTCAGTATATGTCTCGTTAGCAAAAACTGTTGAGTTAAAAGCAGTGTAACGACAGAAGATAAGAGCCAGGCAACAAATTGTTTATTAAGAAAATCAAGAGGTATTCATAGACTTTTATGTACATTATTGTTAGCAGTCTTCTGATTGGCTGTTTTCTTGCTAGAAGTTATTCTGTACTGCTTGTAACCGTTTCTCAGAAAGTTGAGTCATGTACCTACAAATCGTATTTGTACACGCTAAGTCTACTGTGATTGATTGGTGAGTTCCTCAAGGTTAAGCGTTGTTATTGTTTTTTTCTCATGACTTCGACTATGGACGTAAACATTGACGTCAATAGTTGTCTACAATTTCGACTAGCAGACAGCTCTCACCACAGTAGTAGCGCTACGTGAAGAACGTTGAGTATCTAGGCTATTGCACTTGCCATCACACAGCAACTGCAGTTTACAGTAAAGTCAATTAACAATTACTCAGTTGACACCATTTACGTTATCTCCAAGATCTATTCCTGATAATAATTCTTGTTATTGCGATAGGTTTTTGAATTTTAATTGAATTGTTTTTAATTTTTTGTACTACGTAAGCCACAATTAAATATTGAGAGCTTTGGTACTTTGCATTTCGTCTGTTCCCGAATTTAAGTGATGACCTACGTTTTTATGTTGTCAATTTTAAACACGGGAACCATGCCGATTTAAAATCATGATCTGTGGAAGCTTTACAGACTTATGGGAGTGACATATTTGCCACTGTAGCGTCTTGCAGTATGCTTCAACGGTGAAGGTGAAACTTAATAACACAGATTAAACGTTTTACTCAGCCTAGATTTTTATACTTCCAAAAGAAGTGTGGGCAGATAACTTTTGGAGCCAAAACGGCAAATGTCAGTTTTTAGCACTCGATATCCAATAATAAGCTCACCCGTTGAACAGAATGTGTCCATTGTAACTTGAGATTAGGAAGTGAGCACTAAAAGAAGGTCTCAGCGAAGGTGAAAAGCCTCACTGAAACCCACAATAGCCCATCAGATGAGTAATGAAAAGAGAAGATGTTGTATCATGAATTTCATCACTGACAACGGGAAAATACACAATTGTAGCCACGAGTTATCCCACTACAGGAGAATTAAAAGCATATTTGAGTTACTCTGCAATACCAGAATTATTTTCTTGTAAAATATCCGAAGATTAGTTATCCTAGAAACAACATAAAATTGCTTAAATGAGCCATGATGAAGGTCGGTATACATTCCTATTGCTCTAATTTTTAGGCTTTTCGTAACAACTTTCGATTGCTGAAAGGTTTCATGTTTCTAAAAACTGAATTTGGGAGAGTTTTACCTTCACTATACGTTTCTTGACAATAAGTGATTTCTATACAATTGGTGGATGGTGGCTAGCAGTGGAATCCAGGATGCGCATTTCGTTCTAATTGGGACTCGTCAGCTGGATGTACCTGCATTTCTCAGTGAGTGATGTTCCCACCGAGGCTCGAACCCAGTGCCCATAGTTTCAAACGCCAAAGCGTCCAATCGGTCCAATCAATCGACGGGAAAATCAAAAATTCAATTCAATAATAAGTGATTTCCTTTACAACGAACCCTGTGAAAGTCTTTAGACTGATTCTCCAGTTCCATGTCATTCACATCTATTAAAGCCAAAAATAACTGCGTGAGAAATACAAAAGTATCCTGTACTGTAACGCATGTTTGTAAATACGAGTGAACCCTAGTAACTTGAATTACATCATCAAATAAATTTATAAAAATGTACTACTAAAAAAAATCTGTATTGTTTGTGCGTCGGTGGCACAGTGGTTAGGATTCTAGCCCATCATGCACATGGTCCGAGGTTCGATCCCCTGCCGACGCACAGCTGATATCTATGGTTGGCCTGCGAAATTTGGGCTGAAAACTCCATACTTGTACCAAAAATATAGTGTGGAATCAAGCTGTAAATCAAAAAAATAGACTCAATGAATAAAATTCTGTTCAGTCAACAGGTGTAGAAGTTCAAAGAGTGGGTACTCACTCTTAAGAAAGTTATCATGTTTTCTTGTTGTTCACGTGACAGTCTTCACCATTTAGCTGTCGTGAACAATACTGGAAAAGAAGTTTTATTTGTCTTTTCTCAAACTGAACAAATAATTATGCGACCAGGTCGTTATTTCTGTCATTTCATGATATAACTGATCTTCTTTACCTATTTTGAATATTACTTCTTCATCATCGAACAAAGCATAGAATAGTAGTCAAACTTCTCTCTACCTCAACTTCATCGACTTCGAAAAGGCCTCCACCAGACAGCATTGACCGAGAAGTAATTTGGAAACTACTTCAACACTAAAGCTTACCTCAAGTCTTTGTCAACCTCATTCAACAGCTATATGGCAATCCCACTTGTCAAGTGATCCACAACGGAAAACTCAGCGAGGTGTTCGAAGTGCATACAGGCGTAAGACAAGGCTGGCTGCCTGTTATCACCGGTGATTTTCTTAAATGTGGTGGACTAGATTGTGCATCAGACTGTTCGGGGCGAGGAGTCAGGAATAAGCTCTAGAAGATCTGGATTTCGCAGACGATATATGTCTGATGTCACATAGTAGCGAAGACTTGCAAGCGAAAACCGAGAAACTGGTTGAAGAGGCAGTGAAAACAGGACTGCAGGTGAACACAGAGAAGACGGAGATGATCAAAGATAACCAACCAACATCATCAACAACAAAAACCAGCACCAATCGCCATCAACAGGAAAGATTTAACAGAAACTGCCTCCTTCACTTATCTTGGAAGCATCGTTTCAACTACAGTTGGAACGGACTAAGATGTCAAAACCAGTCAGGATCGGAAAGGCAAGATACGCCTTTATCAACCTGAAATCCGTTTGGAAATCTTTCGCACTCACCGTAAGAAACGAGATTCGCAATCTCAACACCAGTGTCAATTCGGTTCTCCTATACGGATGAGAAACTCGCACTGGGTGTAAAGAAAATGATTTCCAGCAGGTTGAAAACTTTCATCAACAGCTGCCTTCGCTGGCTCCATACTGAAGATCAAATGGCCAGAAACAATAAGCGACAAGGAACTATGGGAACAAACCAAACAAGAGCCAATCGCTCAACAAATATATTGTAAAAAATGAAGATGGATCATGCATATGCTGAGGAGGCTGCCGAATGACATCTCACGCTAGGCCCTCGAGTGGAATCCCAATGGAAAGCGAGGAGTGGATCATCGGTGCGAGGGTGACATGGAGGAGATCGTGTGAGGAAGAGATGGAAGAGTTTGGTCAATCGTGAACCCAGCTGAAGAGGACAGCAGAAAACAGAACAAGGTGAAGATGTTTTGTTGAATTTGTATGTTCTACTCCGAACGCAAGGGAATAATAAATAAATAATATCCGTATCAAGTATCAAAGTAAAAAATACCAACCGCTTTTCAAGAAGTTGAGGTGCAAATGCATGCATAGAGAGAGGCGTTACGAATCTTTACAGAACTACCTCTAACCCTATACTTTAATCGTAAAAATACTTGAGTTTAAACTAAATCTAGGAATACACCGTATTTTAAAGCTTGAACATTTCATTCTGGTTATAGCCCTTGATGGAAACGACAGTATAATGATGCAATATGTTTTATCTCTATGATTTTGTTAAATGCTAAGTAGTCGTATGGATTTGGATTTGTCTGAGTTAACGTATAAAATATGACCAGAATTATTAGTTCAAATAAAAAAAAGGAGAATCAATGTACTGGATGGATTTTTCCTTCCTTTGTTTTCCGAGCGGAACATAGGGCTCGAAGCCTGAAGCCTCAAAGTTCTAGTAGCCGTGTTGCTTTACGGAGTGAGCTTTCTAACCTGACGCCCAAACTTCCATCTTTCCCAGAAGATTTAAGTGTGCATTGTCCTGAAAGCGAATTGGGGACCACTTAACAAGGTAGGCGAGCATTCTACCCCTGACTCACCTGTACTGGATATATTATCATTCAAAATGAGAAATCTTATACTCACTGCCAGGAAATGTTCAGGATATGTCTATATGTAAAGTAATGTCTTACTTTCAACCCTCTTACACTGATTTATTTTGTATTATACTGTTTTATTCCCAAACGTGTAGTCAGTGCTACTATACGGATCAGAGACTTGGCGCGTCATAAAGAGCATCTCAAACAAACTACAGACCTTCATCAACAACTGCCTTCTCTCAATACTCAAGATCAGATGGCCAGAAAAGATCAGAAACAGGGATCTCTGGCAATGAGCAAACCAACTAGGAACCGATTGTGCAACAAATAAGCAGGAAGAAATGGAGATGGATTGGCCATACTCTGAGTAAACCATCAAGTGATATCACTAGACAAGCCCTCAGGTGGAACCCTAAAGGGAAGCGGCGAGTTTGTCGTCAGTGAAAAGGTGGGGTGACTTGAAAAAGGTCATGTGAAGAGGAGATGAAAGCATTTGGGCAGACTTGGAACCAGGTGAAAACTCCAGCAGAGAACCGAACCCAATGGTGACGCGCGGCTGAAGCCCTATATTCCTATAGGAAATAAAGGAAATAATAATAATACTGTTTTGAAACATTTTCTAAACTTAATGAATCTGATATATATTTACGTCAATAGTTCTGTTGTTGATATGATATCGTCCAAGAATTATTAGTACCCATTGTTTCACAAATGTCTGTACTGTACTACATTTATTTCCTTTTTATATTCAGGTGTGAATTAGATATAGATGAGTGTTCAAGACCAGAGGAAGTTATCACTTCTAATAATAGTAATAATAATGATAATAATTCCACTGAAGTTTCACCCATGTGCAATCCGAATTCTGTATGTGAAAATATATACGGAAATTTTCATTGTTTCTGTCAAAATGGTTGGACTGGTTTACATTGCAACACTCCACCAACTTTATGGCCTGATGATTATCAACCAGTTTTAAGTTCAAAAGGTCTACCAAGCTATCCACCTTTAAAGAGAGTTAATTTTACAAGTATTTCAAAGAAACGTGACCATGAAACAATGGTAAGTTAGACGCCATTTTTAAAATGTCATTTTTTCTTCTTCTACAATAGAACTACTTGAATATGTAAAGAATTTCATTTTCTGAATAAATTTAATATTATATCATTTATGATTGGGTTACAGTTGAAGGTGGCATAGTGGTTAGGACGCTCGCCGACCATGCACATGGTACGGGGTTCGATCCCCGGCCAACGAACTCCTTTACCTTGCTAATCCAGAAATAACACTGGTAAAGAGGAAAGGTTGGGCATGAGGCTAGCAACCCCATCCTGTAAAAATAAACACTGCTACAGAGACTTCAAGCCACTAGCTTGAGGCCCTATGTTCCACTGGGAACGTGAAGGTAAGAAAAAAACAGTTGAACGATCTTCTAAAACCCAATCCTACTTTAAGTCTACATAGAAGTCTACCGTGAGATGAACCTCTTGAAAACCTAGTGAGAAAATTCAAGTTGTATTGCAGGCTTAACCAAGTGTTAAGACAGTTACCTGCATACAACATAAGATAGTATTGGCAGTACGTTAGGAAATATTATGCCAGATGAAATAAATACCGATTATTTCTGACTTAATGGCTAAATTGTGTCACGTTCGTCTTGAAAGTTTAATGGGTAAGGGTTCGATCATTCAAAAAGTCTTTGGTGTATACTGCTGGACAATTCCATGATTACATCAAATAACTAATCAGCCCTCTTTTGTTTCTCAACAGTCCACTTACTGATGTCAATCAAATCTCTAAAAACACAGAATCTAGTTTGGGATTCGTTATGCTAATTCTGTTATATTCTAATATTCGACCTAATTCTTATAAGTTTAGTTTGAAGAAAAACCACGTGGGTAAAAGTCAGCTTCTGTCAATATAAAATTGCTTCATTCTAAGTTGTCTTTTAAAGTCTTTTTGTTCAACTGTCTTTAATCAAGAGAAGGATGAACTTTTGCATTTCTTTTTGTCACTCCCGAATAATATAGTGTATTCTGTATTATAAATGTTGCGTTTTTTATTGTCCGTTTCATTAAATTTCTCTCAAAACCCTAACCGTCTTCTCAATCATCTCCTCGTGATTGTTATAATTGTCTACCTCTCAGGCTTCTCTTATCGATATTCTTTTATTCACCTTGTCCGCTCTATCTTCTTCCTTTAAAGTAAACACTGTTCAGTCTTACAGTGTGATCCCATATGACCCTTCCTATTTCAAAGTAGTTTCACTATCTGGCTGTTCCTACGAGGAAACATATACTGCAATATGTCCTGTAGAAGTAACATCCACCGTGATAACTTCCATCAAGTGTATTTTACAGTTCCCAGGAACAGCAAAGGTTTAAAGTTTGTCTTAATATGGAATCGATGAAAAGGTATACCAACACTTAAAAATTTCTGGAACGGACTTCCAAAATCTCTTACGAGATGAAGGGTAGTCAGTAAATTCTTGATAAATGTTGAAAGTTGCCTGGTTATCCTAGGTCTGTTGTTCCTTAGCCCTACTTAGAGTATGATTACGACATTAAACAATAATATTAGTTACGCTTTCAGTCAAACTTAACCATTCATACAATCCTTTGCCTTGATAAACTTTTAAAAATCTCAATGTGTCCTTCTTGTTTCCTTCAAAACTTGATTCTATTCAATATCTGCTTAGCTGAACTTTATTGGAAATGTTAAACTTTATAATATTATGGTCAGATTGAAATTTCCCTAGTTCAGAAACCTTGTTACATTACTTTCGAAAATTTCCTAAAACTAGTTGAAATTCTTATCTTGGACAATTAGACACATTCAAGAAAATTAACAACCACATTTCCTTCTGAAATAATAACTAAACTCTTCACTGAAATTTGTAAAAAATTATATATGTAAAATCTCAGCCAGATTGAAATGAGTAATTCCAGCGTTTCGTTCGAAAATCTCGTTCGAACTTCTTCAGGGAAATTAATCGAAATTAATATCATAACAGAGGTTTATATATAAAAGGAATATCTCTTGTGGTGTGGTGTTTAGGATTAGAGTTTAGTTACTAAACTCTTTTGAAAATACGTCTAATCATAAAATTCTAGATACTAACAGTTTTGAACAGATATGAAGGTGTGATGTTAGCTGATACATAACAAAAATCCCGATTAATAAATAAAAAAATGGATATGTATTACTAATTAATTAATAATACTTGGTCAAAATTCCCGATTGTCTATATTTTCTTATGGAGACGTCAAGAAATGTTTTACAACTGTTTACCCTCACACACAGACACACTCTGTTGAGTGTTTAACAAAGGTGGACCAATATTTGTAAGTCGGAGGTCAAATTTTGATCACGGCTCATACAATTTTGTTTATTATACATGTTGATACCTGTTTCATGACTCATATGACTGGACAAAGTTTTTTTGAAACAAGAGATGTTTCTTTTATATATAAACCTCTGTTATGATGTTAATTTCGATTAATTTCCCTGAAGAAGTTCGGACGAGATTTCCGAACACAGAAAATTTTGGAATTACTCATTTCAATCACTCTGAGGTTTTACAAATATAATTTTTTACAAATGTCTACTTCTCACTCGGAGCCCAAATATTTTAGAACTAATCTGTCAAATCTTGACGACAGTTCATTTGAACTCCACTGAAATACTAGAATATCAGACGAAATATTACCTTTGAGTAATTTGGGCGTGGGGGGGGGGCAAGCAATCTGTAGACTTTCAGAGTATATAATTTAACTTATGTGTTCGAAATCTTCTGGAATTGCATAGTCGTATAAAAAAGATTATGCTTTCATTATGAAGTCTACGTATCTATGTGAGGCAATATGTTGGATTGAGTTATAGTGACAAAATTGATAATATTACTTTAATATTATTGTAAAAATGTAAAGTAAACAGAGAAAATGTAGAAAAATGAAGTATTTTCAAGAGGTTTCAGTAAACTTGATAACTTCTCCTGAAATACAGAAGTCAAAATAAGTACTGGTCATTATTTACAGGTAGTAGCAATATGAACAATAACATCAACAGAAATCCGCCGTTTTCAGGAACGTGGTTATATGGTAATAATAGTGAGGCCGAAACCCAAAACATTTCAATACTGGTATGTATTAAATATGTATTAAATACCTTACGTAGTGTTATACTAATAACTTGGAGGAAAAGCACTGCTGATTCACTGGCAGAATTCCCACCAACCACTCAGACGGTTCTTTATTCACAACTCTCCCCCGGCATCTCATCAGGTAGGACTAGAAGTTATTTATTATAAAAGACGGCATGCTCGCACAACTAAGTGCAAAACTTCAGCGATACCATATTTTCTCCGCATCCTATGTGATAGAGAAAGTGTTGAGCGTGAAACTTATAACTTACTATGTAGTTAGCAAAATAAATGGCTCTTTTATCTTCGCCTATTTTCTATCATTACATAATTTAAGTTATTATTACTTCAGCTTTATACTTTTCGTACATTTCTGACTTGATTGTCACTGTTAATTACCGAAAAAGTTGCGGTTATCAGTTTTGGTTGCCTATACCATGTAGTGTTTTGCTGTTGAGTAAATTAGATGCATTATTGTACCAAATGCTGAGAATTCCATGCTGTAGCATAAGTGAACAACAGAAGACAAGGGGCAGGCAACAGATCGTTTATTAAGGAAATTAACAAATATTTATAGCTGAAAAAAATTAGGTGGATTAAACGAAGATTGAGGGAATAAGAATCAGAAACACAGCTAACGCAAAATACTCTAGAGGAAAAAGCGAGAACGAAAACAGACGAGGAAGAGAGAAAAGAAAAAAAAGACGGAAACAAAGGGAACATACCACGCTAGGTCCATGGTAGTTGTAGAGGTTGGACTAACTTCTTTTGAACACACAGCTCCGGCTTCTCAATGCATATTGCGAGGGCTTCTGCAGTACAAAGAAGTCGGAAACATATTGCTCTTGGTAGGTTTCTGTTGACTTTGTAAATTACTTTGAAAGAATCGGTTGAGATTTTGTGGGAGGTGTTGACCAGATGTTCAATAATGGCACTTCTGATTGAACCGGTGCCTCCTCTTCGCAGCCACGCTGGGCAGTGTTCTCTAACACGTTTTGCGAGGACGCGCATACAACGACCTATGTACCTAGCTCCGCACGAGCAAGTGAACTGGTATATGCACATTGAATTGGTCATATGCGAAAGTGTGTCCTTCGTGTTGTTTCGAAGTATTGGACGGCTAGAGAATGTCACTCTTAGTGTTGCTGCAGGGAAGGTCTTCTTTAAAGAGCTGGATATTCTCCTCTTCAGGATATCAGCTGCTAAATCTCCCTTGAAATTCAGATTTAGATACAGCGTTTTCTTTGGCGCTGAATCGCATTCTTCTCTTTTAGGTTTAAGTTTCATGTTCTTTTCGACAAAACGTGTCGAGTAGCCATTTTGAGCCAGGATATTTTTGAGGAATAGGAGCTCCTCTTCTATGCAATCGTTGCTGCAGATTTTTCTAACGCGATGGGTTAGTGCGCTGATGAGGGCTCGTTTTCGGCTCAGAGGTATCCAACTATAGAAATGCGTTAGTTGGCCATTCCATGTCGGTTTTCTGTGGATGGACCTCTTCAGGGTTCCATCATCTCTTCTTGTCAATTCCACGTCCAGAAATGGAATCTTTGAATCGCTTTCTAACTCCATTGTGAATTTAATCGAAGGATGGGAATTACTGAATTCTTGTAAGATGCAGTTGAAGTCCAAGTTCTCGTAGCAGACTATAAAGGTATCGTCAACGTATCTTTTGTATAGTATTAATTTGTTTATTGCTGATTTTAAAACCCCACTCTCCAAACTGGCCATAAAGCAGTCTGCTAAAAGCGGGCCACTATTTATAGATTTTCATATACAATAATATAGATTATTGTTAGTAGACAAACACAGTCTTCTGATTGGTTGTTTCTCACAGAAAGTTAACCTTGCATCTCTTTGTGGCTGTTTCTTGAATGTCAGATCATCCATATTTTAATTGTATCCGCCTACGCAAAGTCTTTGTTCTCATTTTTCTCACGACCAATATTGGGGACATAAACATTGACGTAAATTACTGTCTACCGACTTTGGCTAGTAGCCAGCTCTCACCACACTCGTCCCCCCGTCAAAGAGTTGCGAATGAAGTTGGTTCGGTCTTCTTCGTTCTAAGGGCTTTGTTCGTTTGTCTCGCTTTCCGGAAACTCGGCGCTCACTGATGTTCACCTGTTTCCCTTTGTTTGCCATTGCGATTGTGTCTGCGTAACCACATCTCAGCGTGACCATATGTGGTCCTTCCCACTTTGGAAACTGTTTGCCTGACCCTGTCGCACATTCGTCAGTATTTCGCCTCACACTTTCATTTGCTGCTTTCTCCCGACCTCCCAGCAGCGTCTCAAGTAGCAGCCTCATCGCTGACAGATCTTGAACGCCACTTAACTGCGCAGAAGCCTCGAAGTCCTGCTCGAAGATCCATATGTCTCCATCAGAAACTGCAAGGCATAGGCTTTCCATTTGTTGGTAGGCAGCGACACCAAATGTAACAACAGAAAACAAGGGCCGGGCAACAGATCATCTATATACTAATTGTCTCTGCCTACGCAAAGTCTCTGTTCCTATTTTTCTCGCGACCAATATTTTGGACATAAACCTTGACGTAAATTAATGTCTACCAATTTGGCCAGCAGCCGGCTGTCACCACAGTACTAGGTATTAGCATTATTAGAGTGATCCAAGCTTAAAGTTTACACTTGTTGGTGGTAGCATTCATCAAATGTTAGAATTGAACAATAGAATGTATAAGATTTCACAGGATATTTCATCTTATCTTAGATCTCATCCTAACTTGTATCCTCTGGTAACCTCTGGGTTTTTTTTCACTCTGTGAGTTTCATTTCTTCTTAGTACTCGGCTTTTAAACTTCAATTTAAGCATAATGTTCACACCAATTATTAGAAGAAAAAAACAAATTTAGGATATATAACATAAGAATGTATAATATGTTGTTAACCTTTAACATTTATTTACAACAATTAGTTCCCTTTATGAATTTCGACAACACAATGAGAAGACGTCGTTTATCTGAAACGTGTAATGTATTTGCGCAACACATTTCGGGAAATGCTGATCACACACGGTTGTATAGAGGGCAGGAAGGCTTGAATCATTACAGTGCAGGTCAAGGTCCCACATAATGGGTAGGGAGATGACGCAAAGGTGTGGGTAAGGATGAAATAAAAAAAAACAAAGAATGGGTTTAACGAGTTCATCACGAATTGATATCAGTTAGAGAACTACTGAAAACCAGGGAGTACTGGACATCTGTTTCATCCTAGTTTGGGAATCATCGGCAGTACGCACCCACTGGGATTCGAACCCGGGACCTTCCGGTTACAAGGGAAGCTCGCATACCATTCAGCCACTAGGACCCGATCCAATGGCACATGAATTCTAACTTCTAACAATTCGTGATTTAGCGCAACTGGCACCAACCATTGTCGTCGGTGGGATATCCATCCTCACACGTGACTAGATGGACCTCAGTGGCTGAGTGGTATACGAGCCAGCTTCCCTTGTAACCGGAAGGTCCCGGGTTCTAACCTTGGTGGTGGGTGCGTACTTCCGATGATTCCCAAACTAGGATAAACAGTTGACTGTTCAGTACTCCCTGTGGCTGGTTTTCAATGGTTCTCTAACTGATATCAATCCGTGATCAACTCGTAAAAACAAAACTAACCCTTACAAACCAAAGTATAGAAAAAGAATGGGTTATAAATATTATGAAGTGAATTGAATCTTGGTTCTAAATTGGAATACCAAGGTAGGTTTAAATTAATAACAAATAACTTTTGGAAACACTTTTATTATCACTTTAAACTTGCCTCGGTAATCAAATTTAGGTTCAATTTATATCATAATATTTTCAACCCATTCTTTTTTTATTCTTTTGTTACCCACACCTTTGAGTCATCTCCTTACCAATTATTTGTGGCCTTGACCTGTACACAATCTGACCTGTATTGTAATGATTCATGCCTCCTTACCTTCTATAAAAACTTTGTATGACAAGTACGTTTATGATCAGTATGCCCGAAATGTGTTGCGCAAATACATTACACCTTTCAGAACAGCTATGTCTTTTTATTTACAGGTTGAATTGACCTTTTTCTTTGGATTTTATGAGTTTAGTTGGATAATTAAACTTTTGAAGCTTACATTCCAACTGATCTAAATTCTAACGTTTAAACTATAGGAATACTCGACATATGACCTCGTGTAATTAATTAGTTTAGACTACAATGTACTTTTTGTCTCAGCTTGATATACTATTTGTATCGACATGATGTCTTAATGCCATAATTACATAAGTAGTGATGTCAGCTTTATGTATTCGTGACTTTCATTTCTGAGATGGGAAAATGTGACCTAGTTTACATGCGTGGAAGCTTGTCATCTACATGTAACAAAAGTTAACGAATGCGCAATACATAGACGAGAAAACATTGTGCATATTAAACTTAATATCTATATTTTATCCTTTCATTTTATATAATATATCACTTTACTATTATTATCATTATTTTATTATTAATCTAACTTTAGATGATAGACAAGTCAAATAGTACTACTGCCACTACTACTAATAATAATTGGATAATTATACTGCTTGGTTTACTGTTTAGTCTCTGCATTGTTTTTTGCACAATAACTTATTTCATCTGCCGACAACGTAAACACATATTCGGTGCATATAATATTCGTTGGAATCGTAAACCAGTCACGTAAGTTTCACATTGATCTATGCAATTTAAGCTGATTTTTAACAAGTGATATTTTCATATATATATATATATATATATATATATTTGTTATGAATACATAGTGTAAATGAAAGTGTTTGATTTTCTACATCAAATTCATTATTGATAACCTTGTAAAAGAGTATTAAGCCATTTTATAACAACATGGGAACATGTCCCTTTTGACAAACACCTGATCAATCTCTCAGACATCTGTAAAACACAAAATAATTGAAGAAAGAATATTCTTTTCGATAAATTACTCTTCCATCTCTACAATTATATATATACATGTTCATATACACAGAATATTCCAGATTAGTAGTCAATAACAATATCAGTGTGTGTTTTAAATAATATTGATTTGTGAAGTATGATCAATGGAATTAGTTCATTATTATTATTATTATTATTATTATTATTATTATTGTATCCTTTAGTTCCTAGAGGAACATAGGGCTTCAGCTGCGCACCTCCATTGACTTCGGTTTTCTGACAACTTTTTCACCCTGCTTAAATAATAATAATAATAACAAAGATATAATAGTGAATAGAATATCAACTAAAATTAGGAAAATTCCACAAAAATTCATTATCATTCAAACCTAGATGGCCAAGGTAATGATAATGTCTGAACTAACTTCTTTTGGATGCATAAATTAGGCTTGTTAACATGGATCCCCACAGCCAGCCTCAGCAATATTTAGTAGTGGAACACTTAAGGCAAAATTGAGATTTGTAGGTATGCGGTAAATGACCCTGAAAACATGATCAGATGTTATTAATGAACTCGAATTCTATTGTCCGTACACGGATGATACATTTTTGATTGTGAAAAATGAGAAGGAAGCAAAGAACATCCTGGATAAATTTAACGAGATTCATCCTGCAATAAATTTTACTATTGAGAGAGAAAAAGGCTCTAGTATTTCTTTTCTAGACGTCCTTATGACCAGAAAAGAGGATGGCACAATTAGAAGTGTATATAGAAAACCTACATCAACGGGTCAGTATACTCATTTTCTCAGCTTCGTACCCATGAAATATAAACACAATCTGATAAAGTGCTTGGTTCACAAGGCAAGAGCAATTCGCTCGGATGAATGTCTTGATGAGGAACTTAATATTAAACGGTTGCTAAGTGAAAATGGTTATCCAGAAAATTTTATTGATAAGAATCTGAATCTGAAACCAAAGCAGCCCAAGTTACCAAAAGTTCTAAAAAAAGGCCTTATTCTTACAGATGCAGTTCTTTAGGGACAACACCAGTGAGATACTAACACAGAGCCTTAGAAATGCGGTAAAATGAGCCTTCCCTGCTGCCGAATGACGCTGTCTTCAAAACTACTCCTCTTTTGCCTCCGGGAGTAAAAGACAAACTGCATAATTTCGCCTCTTCCATGTGTATATACCAATTTAACTGCTCCTGTGAAGCCAGTTACATAGGCCGTACGATTATGCCTGTTTCTCGTCGAATTTCCGAACATCACCCTGCGTGCTTAAGCAAAGGTCAAACAAAATCTATTCGTAGCGCTATTCAGTTTCATCTTGTGGATACAAAACACAAAATTGACGTTAACAATGCTTTCAGGGTCATTTACCGCATACCTACAAATCTCAATTTTGCCTTAAGTGTTCCACTACTAAATACTGCTGAGGCTGGCTGTGGGGATCCATATTAACAAGCCTAATTTATGCATCCAAAAGAAGTTAGTTCAGACATTATCATTGCCTTGGCCATCTAGGTTTGAATGATCATGAATTTTTGTGAAATTTTCCTAATTTTAGTTGATATTCTATTCGCTGTTATATCTTTATTATTATTATTATTATTATTTAAGCATCTTTAATGAACTGTGATTGCATTGATCTTACTTTACAGATCGATATTATTTAAAACACACACTGATATTGTTATTGACTACTAATCTGGAATATTCTGTGTATATAAACATGTATATACATAGTTGTAGAGATGGAAGAGTAATTTATCGAAAAGAATATTCTTTCTTCAATTATTTTGTGTTTTTTAAATCTCTCAGAATCCAGATCAAAAATAGTTTTAGAAAGGTTCCAATAAAAATATAACTACAGTTATATTTGGAAGTAAATTGTAATGAAACTGGTCACTTAGGTGTATTTTTGCATTCCAGGCAGTTATTGTGATATGTGTAGCACTCAAAACCAATACCGACTTTATGAGTTCACTAAGATACTGATTTACTGTAGCCACATTCCCCATAGTATAGTAGTATCAGTTTGCAAGTGATAAGACTGGTCTGCTATACTAACGATTTTATAGGATAGAATGGATTATCAGTGTTTGTTATATGATTTTATCGTATCGTCACCGTGCTACTGCTGTCAACGAAATCTCGGTGATGTATCAGTCTGAAGCTATCAGTGAAACCACTTCCTGTAAGAAACACAAGTACAAATATAGAGTTCATGTTACCAAAACAGATAGAACTCAGTAGAATAAACAGAAAAACGGAAGGATCGAAATGTATCACATTCCCAGTGAAACATAGGGCTTCAAGCTAGAGATTTGGAGTTTCTGTAGCAGTGTTTATTTTTACAGGATGAGGTTGCTAGCCTCATGCCCAACCTGTCCTCTTTACCGACTTTTATTACTGGTTTGGCGAGGTAAAGGAGTTCGTCGGTCGGGAATCGAACCCCGGACCATGTGCATGGTCGGCAAGCGTGCTAACGACTATGCCATCGACGCACTATCCAGAGTCTAACCAGTGCAAATAACTTAGACAATAAAAACTGATATGCCTTCAAAAGATATGGCTCATGTGTACCAGTGGACTAGTGCATAATGCTTTTCCTTTTAAAATGAAAAGTACAGGTTTCGCGACTCAGTGGAAACACCATCACTCACTGGAAGTGCTGGTACATCTAACTGACTAGTCTCAAATAAAACAAATTTTTCATCGTAAATTATACACCAACAGTCCTGTCTTCAAAATTATTTTGAAAAACCTTAGACTAAATATATTTATTTATAAAATCTGCCTTAAACAGCTTAAAATCACTAAATCTAACGTAACCAAACCATTCCTTTGTTTACTAGTAGATTAATCTATAGAAAAGAGGAAAAACGGCTTCATTTAAGAACAGACTGTTAAATAACTCAGTTATATAACAGTTCTCCAGGCTATTTTCTTTTGTGAGCCCTTATTGTCCTTATATTCTTGCTAGAATACAGATAGTATTGACCTCAAACTGAGGAAGTTCGCCACTCGATCAAATACTTGTTGACAGCTGTGTGTATGGGTTGAATGAGGTCTTAATTCTGATTAATATCTTTCCGTATTCTCTGCCCAAGCACCAAGTGACTGCAATTCGGACGAAGTAAATAAGGAATTTTATGGGTATCTCTTCAGTCCTCTACAAAAGGCTAGCCACTTAGATGTCACCATTTTAGTGAGGGGTTCTAATGCTTTAAGCGTTACATCAGAGCCCATCATGAAGGTATATTAAGGTATCTATGATATCTCATACTGACCATTCTGTTGAGGTAATTACTTTTAACTAAATGGACATAACTGTAAACTCAAGACAACTCACAATCTTACTTGGTGACCGCAGGCTTGGGCCGGCAATGATCATAAACAGGCTACTTTGCAATAAGTTACCCATGGACGGCATCAGCAGAAGACTGCCATTCCTTCTGGATACTTGTATGGATTTTTATCATGCTATAGTCCACTTACGTGTCTGCTTTGTACTCAACGTAAAAAACAACCAGCTATGATAAATTTAAATCCAGTTATGCTATGAAAACCTCATGTCAGGTATCTTTCTGCAATGAAACCAATAAAAGATGATCAGGGGAACCATATTACCAAAGAGAGCAAATAAAGAAAACAATGGATTGATCACTTCAAAGGACTCTTGAGTCAATCATCACCTGCAATTCACCCAGAAATACCACCAGCAGCAGGCACATAACTGCCAGTGGACACCAATCCTCCGACAAAGGCTAAAGTCTTGAATGCAATCAAGTTATTGAAAGCTAGCTAGGAAGAAATTAGGACCGGGCAATAGACTCAGAGGCCATAGTGGATATGCTAACGCTACCATTGAAAAAGTTTAAAAGGAAGTTTAAAGGAAGCAGTGGTACCTGATGATTGGAAAAATGTTACCTAGTGAAATTACCAAGGAAGGATGACTTAGGTGTCTGCAAGAAATCGAGCAAAATCATGCTATTGTCTACGTCTAGTGAAGTATTAGGTTACATCATTGTGAAGAGGGTAAAACATTCACTGGAAGCTGATTTTCGATTGGAACAAGTTGGATTCAGGAAAGGCAAATCATGTGCTGATCGAATCGCTACTCTATGCATCATCATCATCGAACAAAGCATAGAATGATAATCAAATATCTACTTCAGTTTCATCGACCCTAAGAAGACCTTTGACAGCGTTGACGGCGATGCAGTTCGGAAGCTACTTTAGCACTATGGAACGACCCAAAGATTTATTAAACTCATTCAACAACTGCATGACAGTGCCACGTATCAGCTGATTCACAACGAAAAAAACCCAGCAAAGCCACTGCAGTGAAGGCGGGAGTAAGACAAGATCTCCTGTTATCACCGATAATGTTCGTCATTGTGATGCACTGGATTATGTTACAGATTATGGAGAGCAAAAAGACTGTAGAAAATCTGTACTTTGCAGGCAATTTATGTCAGATGTCACATGCACTCAAAAATCTTCAGGGGAAAGCCAACAAGTTGACAAATGAAGCAGCGAAGACAGGAATTTAAGTGAACATGGAGCAAACGGAGGTGATGAAGATAACCAACTTACAATAACAAGCACTAATTACTATCAGTGGAATAAATCTGAAGGAGTTCACTTCCTTCACTTATCTTGGCTGCTTCGTTTCAACTACAGGTGACAGGATGGAATAGGATGTCAAAATCAGCTTGAATTGGAAAGACAAAACAGTCCTTCAGAACTCTGAAA